TTCTTTTATTTTAGCAAGTCTTTTCCTTTGTTTAACCGATGCATACCTCAAACACCTGAGTGCTATTCCCTGTTTGCATCTGTTTTGATAAATGATGCTGACACCCTTCATCGAATTCTAAGTGGAATAATGTCAGAAAGAGACACAATCCTTGGACTTTGTATCCTCGCATTAGGTAACTTTCTGTTAATTTTATTTTAGTAACTATTTATGGAATGCCAAAGTTTCTAGCATTTATATGTGTTGTACAATGAAAATTAGTTCTTGACTTTAATAAAAAACTTCATATTTATTTTCTGTATAGATATTTTCAATGTTTCAAGTTCAAGTGGGGGAGGGGCAATAAGAATGGGGGAAGACCGTCTGGCTCTCTGCAGAAAATCCTCACTGGGTGGGTTGACTTGATATACTGACCATGTTCCAGTGTCTGGTCCTCAACTCTGCATAAGGGGTGAATATTTAAAGCACACTGCCAATTTATGAATGTGCAACTGTCAGCGGGATGAGAAACCATGTCTTCTGGCCAATATGCCCTCTACCTGTAGGTCATCAAGATCGGAAGGCTGCTTGGTGAGCAAGGGAAGGAGGTGTGTACATCCACATTAAATAGAATTAGACTGCAGTGGCCTAATGTGTCCTCCTCCTCAGAGGAACACACTTGCTTTGGGTTGTAGGTAGGTCAAGGCCTTGAGCTGAGGCATGCCTTCTCTGGCATTTCTGGAAGCAGCTACCCACTCCTGGCCCTTTGACATCCTATGTTCTATGTTTCTGCTTGCTGAGCCCCATTAAGAGTCAACTTTCTCTTTAAACAGGTTAATCCACTCTGCTACTTTTAGACAATAGCAATAATAGCCTGTTATCTGTCCTTCCCAGTGGCGGCCCTCCAGCCTCTTGGTTGAAAGATACACTTCCATCAGCCATTAACATATCTCTGCCAGTTTACCAATTGCGTTTCTCATAATTTTATTACCAAAAGGTTACTAATTCCTGAATGCTTTGGGACACTTAACTAGTCACGATTATGTAACTTCCAGACTTCATATTTAGGCTGAGAATGACTTCAAATGACCCAGATAGGATGCCTTGACTCCCAAATACTGGCATGTTGACCATATATACCCAAAAAAATTTTGGATTATTCCTGATATCATATATTATGACCTAATATCCCCACAAGGACTGTGTATTTATTAGATTCATAATGGTATTAACAACTGTCACTTACTGAGCACTTATCATGTTACAGGCATTGTGCTTATTCTTACCTCATTAAAACCTCATCAGAATCCTGCCCCCACTTGCAGGAGAGGAAACTGAGGCTTAGCGAGGTTAAGTGACTTGAACAGGGTTGCACATCGAGTGGAATAGGTAGGTGTCAGAGCTGAGACTCAAACCCAGATCCTTCTGATTCCAAAGCCCATATTATTAATCACTACACTGAAATACCTATATGCAATTTCTTGTTTAGAAAATAAAATAGTATTTATAAATTTACTCAAATAGTTAGAAAAAAAA